CCCATTTTTAGTAAGATCTCTAATATCTTTGCTTCTTAAGGATGGGGCCAACTTTTATTATCACTGAATTTCTAACGTGCACAGGATTCATAGTTTCTGTGTGTGTATGTTTTAGTTGGTACTCAATAAGTGTTTAAATAATGAATGAATGAACAAGTGAATTTATGAATAAGATAATAGGAAGGCACAGCTGAAGCCCTAGATGCAAGATGCTCTCTTAAAGTTAGCTAGATGGAAATCTGGGAACAAGCTGGATATTGTCACTGCCTCTTACATCAGTATTAGGAAGGTACCATCAAGTCTGCTTCCCTATAAGGCAGTCTTGGTCACAGCAAAGCCAAACTCTTGATCCTTATTGACTTCAATTTGTAGGCTTCAGCTATGGAAGAATTTAATATGACACTTATTCATTTTCTCTGGAGAGTGACCCTGGGAGAAAAATTATTTTACAGAAATAAACTCATATCTCAAGGGCATAAGCCAAGATGTGAAATGGTATTTCAGGCACATTAATCAGAGTCAGTCCTGGCCTTCCAGAAACCAGAGAGGGTAGTTCCCTGTGAGAGTTAATAGGCACTCCTGCTCCTCATTCCTGGGGTCTTTTCATTGAGTTAGCGGAGTTATTTGGGTTTGTTTCTATCTTCCACCCAGATCTGATCTCTTTGTCAATTAAAGGAAAAAACAGGGTAGTTGGTACTGTGAAGCACTTACTAAACAATATGCAATTAGAACGCACTCTGAGTTCAGCCACATGTTGCACATTATTCAGCATTATTTCAATGTCGCCCTACGTGGGTAAGCCTTTCTTTCTTTAGACCCCTTTTCCTCCGTAACAGTGTTAAACAGTATCACTGACAATCTTTTGTCACAATTGTTGAGTAAGGAAGTTACAGTTACTGTTGTGATTTTTCAGATAAGAAAATTGTGGCACAATGAGGTAAAAGCATCTTGCTCTAGGTCACAGTGGTGATCTGGGGTTCAAATCCATGCAGTCCACACCGATCCAAGGCTTTTAATTATGATTTTAAATAATAACCTGACTAGATTATAATTCAGGACTGTGATCGGGCTGTATTAATAGAAGGTGCAGCCATGTCTCAATATAGGTTAGAAATGCATGAATTTATAAGTTTGACTCTATTACTCTATCCATGTAGCAGAGCTTAAAGATAACTGTACCTGGTAGAATGTTTGGTGTATTCATTCTCTCTGGGCCTCTCCTCTTTTTTACATCATTTTACATATGAGCTCTCATTGACCCAGTTCGGGGTGGCTAATAGTAGATTTGGCTTTACAAGAGTCTTCCCAAGTTTCAAGCCGGGACCCGGATTACCCAGATTACTGGAGAGGTTTACATTTGGGATTGGGAACGAAGCCCAGCTAGAACAAGAGGTGCATTGTTTAGTACACAGCTATAACCACGTACCACGAGCTTGCTAGTTCAGGAGAGTAGAAGTGTACAGTAGGTTTCAGTGGGATGGGACCAAAGTGTCAGCAGGGTCATGCTCCCCTGGAATATGCCCTTGTCTCGTCTTTTCCAGATGCTAGAGGCCATGTGCCTTTTTTGGCTCGTGTCCTCTTTCTCCATCTTTAAAGCCAGAAAGTAGAGTACCTTTAAATCTCTGTTTCTGCCTCTTGACTCCTATAATCATATTCCTTTCTCTGGCCTCTGATCCTCCTGCATCTCTTATGAGGATGTTTGTGATTCCACAGGGCCTATTGGATAGTACAGATAATTCCCCCCCCCCCCCGTCCAGATCCTTAAATGAATCACATTTTATAAAGTCTCTTTTGCAATATAAGAGACATATTCACATGCTCTGTGGACTAGAGCATGGGCATCTTTAGTGGGTCATTAATTTTGTTTACTACAGTTTGCCCTTTGGTTCCCAAAGATATATGTCTTTCCTGCATACAAAATATATTCACCCTATCTCAATACCCCCAGAAGTCTCACTCATTACATCATCAACTCAAAGTAAAAAATCTCATTCTAAACTTATCAGTCCAGAAGTCCCAAATCTCGTCACCAAAATCCCCTACATCCAGTATGGATAGGACTCATGTGGACCTGTGAAACTAGACAGCAAGTTGTGTGCTCTCAAAATATAATGGTGGTACAGGCATAGGATACCAGTTGTAGCCACCCCACTGAAAAAGGAAGGAAATGGAAGGCCTCAGAATGGCGTCCTGTGACCTTGAGGTTTCATTTGCTGGGCCCAGGGTTCCCCACTCTGAGTCATTTTTTTCCTTTTTTTTATGAAGGATAGCGTATGTTTGAGCTGAGTGGTTTTATCATCCTGTTTCCTGCCTGTAGAATTTTGGGAATTCAACAAAGGCTTCGGTATTTCATCCTCTCTCTGTTCCTCTCGGTCTAGGCTGGGAGTGTTTCTGATGGTATGAAATTCTCAAGATCTTTGTGGGTCTCCTGGGTGTGTCTCAGGATTTACTCTGTTAGATAAGAGGATCCTCCACGGATCATTTTTGGATAATGCCTTCTATATTTTGAGCTTTTGCTTAGATGACTAAGGAGATCCAGGAGTCATATGTCTGATCCTTCCCAAGAGTCCCCTGTGTGATTGAATATTCTGATATTTGATCCTTCTGAAGCACTAGCTGAAGGTTGTTCAGCCAAACTATTGGCTTCCTCTCCAGAGCAGGCTTTCCTGACAGTGAATCTTGTAATTTTAGCATCTTTTGCAAACTGGGTATGAAACAGGGTACAGGGCAAGAGGTCCCCAAAGTCCCCACATTGATAGTTTGTGGATGGTGGAAGGGGATGATACAGTGATTAAGACACTTTGCATTACAATGGCAAGTGATAGCTGTGTCTTTCCTGAAGGGAAGCTACCACCTGGGTAAAGGCCCACATGACCTTCAGCATATATAATGCCGAATGTGAAGTCATGCAGGAAGCCCCAGGTCAGCATTTAAAACTAGGGCAGCCAGCCATGATGGGGCAGCCATGCAGTTTGAAAGGGTGTAGAAGGGCTCCCACTGGCCCGTCATGAGGTCTGGTGTGTAATGAGGTACCATGTGGTTTGGAGTAATGAGATGTCATGTGGTTTTGGATTAAATGCTGGAGGAAGAAAGAGGAGACCTGTTGGGAAACTTCCTGGGAGAACATGGCGGCACAACTGATGGAATTGCAGGGACTTACACAGCTAGGCACGGGTTAATGGGAGATGCCTGGGATGCTGAGCTGTGACTGAGAGTGCTGAGCAGTAGACTTCTGTTTTTCTGAAAGATGGCACCTCTGACTGACATATTCTGAAACTGGCCTGGTTTGGCCGAGAGAGGCAGGACTGTGTCTTTTAGGTATTTAAAGGGAATGGGACTTAACAATAGAATTCCACCATTATTCCAAATTCGTATAACTTTTAAATAAATAATTACTTTCCTTTTCACCAAACTCTGGCATTATGAGTCATACTTCTTGGTGGTGGGCAGTCAGACCTTACAGCTGTTCTGGAACAGTGTAGGCTGGGGTTTTGTAATAGGCAGACAGAATTTCCCAAATCATCAAGTCCTAGTTTCTTTTTGTTTAATAATTCTGTCAATGTATCTCTTTCTTCTCACATTTTACTATATGCATTAAGAAAAGAACTAATCTGAACCTTCAATAATTTACTTGTAAATTCTCTCAGCTTAATATCCAAGTTCATTGCTTATAAATTCTGCTTCCTGTATAACTATAGGACACAAACTCACTAAACTTTTTGCCATTATATGACGGGACACATTTTTCTGTAGCACTCAAAGGTCCCTCATGACCTTCTGAGCTCTTTCCAGAGATGTTATATAGCCTATAATGTCTATATTTCTACCAATGCTCTTTTTATAAAGATTTAAATATTCTCCAAGGTGATACAGACTTTCTCTACCAGAGTTCTCACTTCCTTCTGAATCCTCACAGAGTAATGAATACCTATCTCTCTATTAACAGTCTGTTCAAGGCAGTATAGATGTTTTCTATGATTCTGCTCAAAATTCAACCAGCCTCTGCTCGTTTTCCAACCCCAAAGCCACCTCCACATTCTTTAATTATTTGTTGCACCAACATCCCACTAAAAGCTAACAAAATCTGTTAAATCAGAGGAACAGAAGATATATTTTAAGAGGTTTATTGCTGGAAATTGGCTTAAGCCACTGTAAGGACTGGCTAGACAAGTGCAAAACCCATAGAGCCAGCTGTCAGGAAGCGCAGGCTGGAATTCCACTCTGGAACACAGGCTGAGGCTGGTGTCCACAGTTGGAATTTCTTCCCTGGAAACCCTCAGCTCTGCTCTCACAGCCTTTCAACTGATGAAACCAAACCTGCCTGTGCTGTCTTGGATGACCCCATTATTTAAAGCGAACTGATTATGAACTTCAATCACATCTGTGAAATATCTTTGCAGCAACACCTGGATTTGTATTTGAATAACTGCGGGTGGTAGCTTAGGTAAAGTGACACGTAAACCTGATCATCACAATGTGGTATCTAAATTCCCATTTGTCATTGTCCTTTGTTCAAAATACTTCAATGGGTCCTGAGGAGGAGGAACAAATAACTGGACTAAAGTTAAGATGGGAACATTTTCAAGTTTCCCTCATTACAATATCATAAAAACCCCACCATTAGCCTTAAGTAATATACTTAATGTGAATATACCTAAAGCAATTGGAAACAACCTAAGATAATATGTATTTAATGGTTATATTGTATGGAAGGGATGAAACATGTCACGTGCATTCACAGGAAGAGTTAAATATTGGTTAAAGGAGGAAAGGCTTTATTGAGAAAGTAGAACGTGAGCTGAGTAGAAGGAAGCCGACATGACACATGAAGGAAGAGAACAAGCAAGGTATGGAGAAGAAACCATGAGCAGATTGCTCCTTTCCCCTCCTATCTCCAGGATGCTCCGGCCCACGGAGCAATCAACTGGGGCTCGACCACCTACCTAGAACAAATGAGTTGGGGGGACAAGAGGCGCGAAGAATGGCAGCAAGACAAAAGATTCTGATCAAGCTGCAAACTTTATTTTTCCGAACTGGGTATATATATAGGGGGGGAGGGAGAGGAAGGAGATTAGGTTGCTTGCTATTGGCTAGCTTGAGACAAAGAAGGGCCCGCTTATTGATTACTTGGGTGCAACTGGTACTCGTGGACACCTCATGTGCCTGTAGCTGATTGGCTTGGGGAGCGCATGCACACCTCATGTGCCTGTAGCCGATTGGCTTTGTGGAGCGCACAGGTTCCTGTAATCAATGCAGTGTTTTTAGCTAGAAGCCAGGTGTAAGGTTCCCAACACAGGACACTGAGATTGCCTGTGCATGTTGTAGGGAGCACTGACACCTGTGCTGTGGAATTTATATGTGAAGTCACATGTAATAAAGAGTCATGGTGGAAACGTTCTACGAGAATGGTGAATCTGGCGGAAATGGGCAGGGCATGGGAAAGGGCCGAGGTTCCTTTAACTGGATTATGTCATGGGTCAAGCCTGAGACAAACAGAGTGGAGGTGAAATTGCAGAACAGATATGAGTGGCATTTTGAAGTGGGAAACAAAGGGCATGTGGTGGAGTGAACACTGGTGGTAAAGAATAATTGTGAGTGAAAATTGGTGCCTAATGCTTTGTACTGATTTTATGTTACACTGGAATTTTATACTAGTACAATCAGGAGTCCACAAATTCTGCCTTGGTCCATCCAAACATCCTGCTTCTGAGGCCACTAAGGAAGATACATAAAAAGGAGGCAAGAAGAAGTAGACTAATACTATTGTTAGCAGAGAATTCTGCTTGAAATTCCAGTGCAAAATAGCAGTAAGCTGGAGTGAACCATGTGGAAAACTTTGTAAGACACAAGAAGCAGCCTATATATAGCTGAGACCCAAAGCAGGCAACACAGCTTTCTATGTTGATGTCCAGCCTGGGAGGAGATCTCTCACTGATGGCTGGAAAGACCAATTCAGGTGTACCTGGTGCAAGGACAACAGTGCAGGTGGCTCCAGGCATGAATGAAGAGAAAATATTCACAAAGGAGAGAAAGGAGTATTACACGATGCAGCTCAGAACCCTCTGGCCTGGTTAAATAAAGGGGGGAAAGAAATTGCAGCCACAAAGGCAGTAAGCATTACTCCCTTTGAAATTCTATTTCAGACATTGTGGCTACCTAAGTGTCCATGAACTTAGCCAATCCTCTTACACTCTGTGGGTGGAATTTCTTACCTTTTTCCTGGCTCATCCTTAGGAATAAGTAAGGCATTCAAAGTGCCATGAGAACCTTCCTTTTCATTAGAGGATCACTATTTTAAGGCTGGATAATTGGCAGAATAAGGGCACCATTGATTGAGAAAAGGAACAGAGCAGGGAATTTTACTTGGAGTGAGGTGTTGGCATATCAGGCAGTGTCTGTGCACAAGATGATACAGCACACTCAAGTTGAATAATTTGTTGAAGTGAGTGAACAGGGTTTAAAAGAACACGAGAACTATTAATCACTTTTTTCCTGAAAGAAAATGGTTAATGGAACCCAAGAGGTGATTGTCTATGGGAGCAGTCTGAAAAAAGCTATATGGCTCTAGGCCACAATCAACCCTGGTGACTCAGCAGGTAGGGCGCTGGAGGAATACACACTCCGATCTCACTCTTCTCGTTTTGTGGATGTGCCCACTGGCCAATGAGAAAGAAAAGGCCCATTCATGAAGGTCACATAATTCAGCTTATCTGGGCACAAACTGGGCTGGGGAAGGTGAAGCAAAGTTCTGGAGGGGCAACACGGGATAGATTGTGAACTCAACAGTGAGTGACCTAATACTTGGACCTGTGTGGGGAAATCACTCTTAGTTTATAAGAGCAGACTTAGGATAGAGATCTGGAATAAAAATTATGGAATGTTTAGCTGGGAGAAAAGATAGAATATTTACTAAATATCTCTTATGTACTGGGCACAGGGTTAGGCATTTTCATGTTATGTCATTTATTCTTCACAATAACTCTTTAAAAAAGTATCAGCATTCTGAGAGGTTTGCGAGCTCATGGGTCTCAAACTGGCAGCTCAAGGGCTGAGAATCTGTGTTTTTTTTTAGCTTGCATGATGCTTTAAATGTCAGAAGACTTCAGATAAAAATGCAGATTTCTGGCCTCATTGGAAACATCAGAAGATCTGGCATCAGCAAGCTCACATTCCTGTAAACTAGAATTAACTGAGTGGTAACTTTCGTCTTTAGCTGGGACATGGATTTTGGTACCCTCCCACCACTCTTTATTGTGTTGTGACTTCCAGATCAATCGACTGAAACTATCTGCGAGTATTTCAGTTTGCAACCTGGATCTCCCTTTTATTTTGCACGTGAATAAATTAAGGCATGGCAGAATTGGATGACTTCTTCAAAATTTCACAACTAGACAATGCCAAAGTCGGCTCTAGATCTTATGTCTTTGGCCTCTGTGAAATCTATATTGGATTACTATAAATTTTACAGTAATAAAGGAAATGTGGAGCTGGCTTAAAAACACACAAACACAACACCAGAACAAAACAGAGCCCAAAAATTAACCCACACATAGATGGTCAACTAATTTTCAATGTCGTTGCCAAGGCAATTTGATAGGAAGAGGAAAATTAATGTCTGCTTTTACCTTTTCATTATATGTACAAATTAACCCAAGGTGGATCATGAAATATAAAAGCTGAAGTTGTAAAGCTTCTAGAGGAAGACATAGGCGCATGTCTTTGTGACTTGTCAAAGGCATAACTTTCTTGGCGAGGACACAAAATGAACCAACAACAAAATAAAATATTTGAGAGAATGGTTGTACTTCTTATATGGGATAGTGAGTTCTTATATAACCCTCTCAAAGAGAGGGTCAGGAATGCTTAGTATGGGAAAGAAAACAGACACTGAAGAAAATAGAGATATTGAAAAATAAAAGGTATGTGCAAAAATATGGCAAGAGGTTTGGATACTTTGAATCTTTTCCAAGTCTCTAATAACAACCTATTTAATTTGGTCTATAAGGTTTATTTGGAAACTTATTAAAATCCTCTTCTTGTAGTAGGCTCCAGTAAACTAATGCTTCAAATTGCTTAAGCTGTTTCTTTTTGAAAATTTGAGCTCCCTCAGACTCTCTGTTTAATTTTCTGTGTAAGGCATGCCCTGAAAGTTAATATTTTTCTCCCCAGTCTGAGTCATACTGGGGTTTCTGGCCCTCTCTGTCAGACTCTGTTAAGGCAATAGCTCCACCCAGTTTTGGTTTAAGAAAACCCTATTATAGGGGACTGTTCTGCATGGTGTGGGAAATGTACCCCAGCCCTGACTCAGAAAGGCTCGTGGGGAGCGAGGTCTGACATATAGAACCCACACTCACAGATAGGTTCTCCGGTGGGGAATCAGGTCTGCATTATACCTATCAGGCTGCTATGAGACTTGCTTTTGCTAAAACTCTTTCACTGTGGATTAAGGCACAAAATATTTACTGCATATCTCTAAAGTAACTTCCTAAAATCTGTGCTAAACTTCCCAAGTATGGAGTGTAACCAGTTCAACCACTTTTCCCCTTGATCTGCAACATCCTTCTCTCTGAAGTAATTAGCAACATTTTTTCCTTTGTTACCTGTGAAAGGTAATCACCCACAGGGAAACTGTGCATAGTAAGTAAATGAGGACCATCCTCAATGTAATGTACCCAGAAAAGCAATAAAAGCCTGTCCAGGCAGGGATCAGAGCCCTCTCTCTCACTTAGAGAGTGGCCATACTGTCCCTTTTTCTCCACAGGACTTCAGTAGTCCATGTGCATTTGTTTGTCACAGCCACAACACACAGACCCTGTGGGCCAGGGTCCACATCACCCTATGTTTATGATGTGACAGACCCTGGGCTCAAACACACCCATAATCTTTTCTCCTGACTGGATCAGTTTGTGAGGTGCAAAAAGGTGAATGTAAAGTTAAATGAGATCTTTTTTTTTTTTTAATTTCCCCACACCACTTGGACAGCAGGTCTCTTCATAGGCATAATCAGACATTTGGTTTCATAATAAAGTTTTCTACCTTACCACCTAATATATTCATTTCAGTGCATTTTTGTATTCTTGATTCCTTTGTGGCTGGCATTCATTTTTCTGAGTTGTATACAAAGTTAAGAGTAGAGTTCTTCTTTTTGGTACTCTGCGTCTCAAGGAGTATATTAATGAAACCTTCTTCTTTGTTCTGTTGTTTCCAGAATATACTGATATTTTTCAATAGAACAAATCTATTCCCACTTATCAGTCATCTTCTGTTTTCTTAATATCATCTCTTGTTCTGATCCTGAATTTGCTTTTATGCTCCTCTACTTCTTAGATGTTATCACTTCTGTGTTTATTATGCCCTGAAGATTAGCAGACATTTGAAACTGGGCAGCAAGAAGATGACCATCATCTAACCTCCTTTTCAATTTCATTTCCCTTTTAAATTATTTCTCTGGAGATGAAATTAGCAACCTTAGTTTCATAAAGAAACTGGAATAGCCAAATGGGAGTTCAGCTTCTTGGGGAAAAAATATATAGGAAGACAGAAGAGGATACTTGGCAAATGCTGCCCATACAACCTCCTGCCCAGCTCACCTGATATTATCACAAAGTGGATGAAAGCCATGGTCATGTAAAACATGTCTTCTGGTGAAGAACTTAGAAGGGGCACCACCAGCTGTGTGATATCAGCCTTGTCACACTGTAAGATAGGTTAAAGAAAAAATAAACTGTATAAGCAGGGCCTATCAGTCCAAAACAGTAACTTTAATATGTGTGAACTTTCTATGAGGTGGGCTTCTGTGTCTGTTGAAGCTAGTGTCTTCTATTTGAACCCTTCTATAGAGCTGCCATTACTATTTGAAGTCACAGCACAGCTTAGATGTCACAGAAAATACAGAAGACAGAAAGAGTTTAGGTAACTATTTTGCATACAAGGGAGATGAACCAACAAATATAGCTTGCTACTCATTCGCAGGACTTCGCCAGGTACTATCCTTTCTCATCAGAATCCTGCTGGTTTCCACCCTGGCCAGTGTGGCTCAGTTGATTGGAGCATTGTCCTGTAAACTGAAAGATTGTGGGTTTGATTCCTGATCAGGTCACATGCCTAGGTTGTGGGTTCAGTTCCTGGTCAGGGGTCATGTATGAAAGGAAACCGATCGATGTTTCTCTCTGACACTGATATTTCTCTCTCACCTTCTCTTCTCTCTAAAAAAAAGTCAATATGCATGTTTTTGGGTGAGGATAAAAAATATGTATTTGGGGAAAAAAAAGAATCCTATTGGTT